GTTATTATAAATTACATAAAAGGCCCTCAGGGAATTATAAAGCTGTTCTTTCATTTCAATAGTGTAAAAGCCTCACACAACTTAGTACAAGATAAACTACATTCCATTCTATAAGGCACTTTCTTTTCATAAAAAACAAACATATTTATGGGATGATTATCTTAGCATTACATTTTTTTTTATTTTAGACTTGATGTTGGTCATATTTTATCTACCTGAGTATTGACGGAATTTCAAGCTCATGTACAATTTAATTATAGACATGTACAAAAGAAATGTACAATTTAATTATAGACAGCCCACATAAAATTTTGGGTCCATTCTTTGCAATACCTGACTTGAATTTTGGTCTGAGTCCCAAAACCATTGCCAGAGCAGCTTCAAGCCACAGGGCATTTTTGCTCATTCTAGTACCTGCTTTCGACTTATTTCCTAATTTTAGCTTGCAGATAGCATTCCAGCCTCATTTCATTTGTGATTTTCTTTGTGACTTCAGCATATATTCAACACACACACGCACACACACACACACACACACACAGTCTCTCACATACTGCATGTTTAAAGAGGAGAAATGAAATCACAGATAAATGTAAAGTGATGGGAGTTGGTAGGCAAGAAGGGCTTGCCCTCTCTTCTTAGTTTCCTTTCCTGTCTTTTCCTGTCCTTTCCTCTGGCCCTCAACACCCTTTTCCATTGGACACTTCTGGGAGGTGGTGGGGGTATAGGACAAGGCTTAGAATATGATGGAGGAACATCTCATGAATCAGATGGTAGTAATTAAATGTTCTTTTCAGAATTCCCCTAGCCTCCCTCCGAGCTAGGAAAGAGCACAATGGTTATAATTAGAACGCTGTTATGGGTTAGAGACATGGGAGAAAGGCTGCGCAGAGATTGATTGTATTGGTGGAGTGTGTTCCTGTTGAATGAATGTGGACAACTGGTTGCAAATCTCACAGGAGGAGGGTGGCCAAGTGAGGATCTGCTGATGCCAGAACCATTCTGAATGTGCATCCCAGAGGGGTGTGTGTGTGTGTGTGTGTGTGTGTGTGTGTGTGTCTTTGGACATGTACTCCGTAGTCTTTCATGTGTAATATGAAAGCTATTTGTCTATAAAGTCCATGGCATTGATAATCCCTTCCAGGCATCTGTGACTTTTGAATCTTTTTCCACCTTTAGTCAGAATTTGTGATTGATTATCTGGTAGGCCTCTTTTAGACTTTAAGGAAGTTCAGAGTCATTTGATATTAGCTGCTTGTTTGAAATCAGTACATGTGACTCTAAGATGAGGCATAAGTCCTAAGTTTTACACATATACACATTTACATATGATTAAAATGTATACAAACAAAATACTACTTTTAAATAGCAGTATTTTTATAATGAAGAATAACTTAGAAATTATTGCCACGTCCTAAATTCTACAAAACCATTTCAAATATCGATGATGTTCTACTTCTAATTTTTTACACAGTAACTTTAAATAAACTACGAGCCTTAGATTTCTTTAATTTTTTTCTTATCTCCCAGAAATTGCTATGATGCTATCAACCAGAAAAGCTTTAAAATGGCAGAACGGTCCTTATTATTTCTTTCCCCAAATTCCATACAATTGAAAATAAAGATCTTATGGGGATCATTCTCAGGTCCTAGTGTTTTAGGATTGTTTTCTAAATTTTTAAGAATTACCAATTTTCCACGGACTCTTTTGTTTTTGTACCTCCTTCTTACTTTCTTATTCATTCAGTCATTCTATGGTCCTAAATGGTTATTTCATCAAATTAAGCCAGCCTTAGTTATCAGATTTTCAGAAATGTTAATAATTTACTAGCATCAATCTAATCTATGGCAATTATTTTGAATTGTTATGCATCTTGACCATATCTGTTTATACATTTTTATCTAGGAAATGGTCATGATTTTTGCATTCCCTAATTCCCTTTGGGATTAGGAAGTTTATGGAGCTAAAGGAGATAGTGTAGACTATCAGCACACTGCTCTGTCAGTGAAGGATTTCTTCTTATGTCATAATTCTTAAGGTGACATAATAAGGAAAGGTTAGCTTGATTTTTGTCTACCGTTTTTTTGCTTGTTATCAAAATTCCTGGATGAAATATGGCAATTGATAGCTGAATAAGAAAACTAGAAACTGACAGTATCAGTGCTGTTGCTTTATCACATGCTTGAGATAGAGATCGTACTTGAACTTTGTGACGGCACATATATAGCTCCTTCCTTTCTGTCCTTCCTTTTCATTTACGTGTGTGTGTCACAGTTCCTGGAACAAAAGTGCTCTCGCTCCACTTACACAAGTCGAGAGACTTGAAACTAACATAGGGTTTCTTTCCGCCCTATGCTCCAGAAGAATCTCTGGAATTGGAACAGAATTAGAAAAGCCTAGATTAGAATTCCTTGTAAGCCTGTAGTAAAATGTGTATGCTTCTGAAAATGTATTTGGTAAGCATATGTAGGTTTGGGGACCATTTTAAGTATTGGGCTGAGCGCTGATAGATGACCTTGCTCTAGCCAGGAGCTCCGACCTCAAACAATCCCAGTTCTCCAAGCACCTGCCCCATGAAAACCATACTCTTCACTCCTCGAAATAGAAAAGCTTTGTGTTCACCACAGTGATGAATAGGCTTCCCAGTCTATTACAGGGTCAGAGAAACAAACACAAATCAGGGAGGCGAGCATATTGCTCATTGAAATATTTGTTGGCCTCGCAAGAAAGAAGAAGACCCAGAAGACAAAATTGTGGAGCTCTGTAGTGAATGGAACAGATTCATATATGTTTGAGTCTAAATTACCTTTATGTGAATTAACTGCTTTGCTAAAAATGAGACTTTTCTTATTCTAGGTTGGCATTCTCTTGATAGCTTGTTTCTAGGCCACTTCTCTTCATGGCGTGTTGGATGATCAGGAAATATAAAAGTTAACAGATTACAGCCTTTTAGAATGAGGCAGAGGTATAAACAGCAAATGTTAAAAAAAGGAAGATTAACTTTAATATGGATGTGTATATATAAAAATCAGAAAAAAATAGATCTTTTGGGGGGAGAATTATTTTTAAATAAATAGGAAATTGACTTTTTAAGGAATTATTTTAATGAACATTTAGAAAAAGCAGAGCTTAATTAGTGAAATGACCCAAATTCTGTTCACTAATTATAAATACCAGAATACCACCTTGTGTTTATATAGCACCTGTTTCTTACTAGATGAGAGAACAATGACACCAGGTTTTTGTTTTTATTTGTTTTTGTTTTGTTTTGGCTTTTATTTTGTAGCATTAATCAATATTTCTTATACAGCTCTCTAGTTGGAGGGATGCCGATCTCATCCATATTTTATCAATTTGAGGATAAGTTAGAGAGATAGGTAACTTCTACTGGCTTTGAAGTGTCTAGCTTCCCCAGCCTTGGTTGTTAGAGCTGCTGTTTTTATTTTTGGACCATCAGGTTTTTCCATGGATTTTTTTTTTCTTGTCACTGATCATGTTTCTTCCTCCTCCTCCCCCTCTCCTTCCTCTCCCTCTCCTTCTCTTCCTCTTTTTCTTTTTACTCTTCTTTAGTCAACTACTCACAAGGCGTAGAAGGAAAAATAGTCTCAACATTTTCATTGGTTTTTTTCTGCACAAATAAAAGTTCTGGAGGATCACTAATTACAAAGTAGCTTCCGTGCCTGATTCTGCTGTGGAGACCACGGTCTCCCACTAACTTGGTTCAGTTTTGTCAGAAGACAGTTTACTAAACCATATTTCTCAGTGTTTGCAGACTCATTTACTCCACTTAAAATGCCAAGGTATTTCTTGGAACCCTTACCCTTACCCTACCAGAGAGTAAGGATTTTATCTTTAAAATACCACTTCACTGGACAGACCAGGGTTACAGATTCTGTTTTCGTTTGTTACATGAGCTTCTCAGAGTCTGTTAAATGTATTGGATCCCTCCAAGCCCCACTGGACCATCAGGAAGCTCCCACTCCGACAGAATTTTCTGCATGCAACTATTTAGCCCTTATTTTATCAGTATCATAATTTAAATCAAACAAATATTTGCTTATATATGATCCTTGTAAGGAACAGATGTGGAAAATAAAGTAAGAATGAATAGAAAAGAAAGAAGGTAACTTTCATGGTTTGCTGATTGTTCATAGTCATTTTAAGGTAGTCTTTCAGAGTTTTAGCACGTAAGCAATTTAAGTTTCATAATGATTTATATAGAGACCGAATACCACTACCTTGTGAAAGTTTTAGCAAGCTGCAGGTTTACCCAGTGTAGATTTTTAATTGCATTTCTATTAAAAAACTTGAGTTTAGCACAATTTTTACACTATTTTAAAATTCATAAAATAAATAGCTAAACGACTTTAATGCGGTTTATTATTAGAGTTTGAAAGCCATCAGCTAACAGCATATGCCTTTCTTTGCATCAGGTGAGCTGTTGTGTACATAACATAACGTGATAGCATCTTCACGTTTATACTAAAGTCTATGTCTGTTACCTTTCAAAAGTCCTAGAAAAATCATTGGTTTGCTTTGTAACGACGCAATAAATCTTTTCTGAAATTATGATCGACCTTTTTCAGCTCTAACAAACTCCCTAAGAATTGCCTACTTATTATTGGCTTTGTGAGGAAAACAAATCTGGCACGCAGTGAGCTATCCTGAAGTGATTTATGTCAAGCGGTAGCACATGTACACTCAGTTCCACAGTTTGTGCTAACAGCCATTGTTGGACCAGGCATTTCTCCAAAGCTCATGAGTTAGGGAAGGATAATTATAGTAAGTCGTATATTATAAATAATGCATGTATGTTCCCCATGAGCTATGTGGGATTTCGGCCCGTTTGCTAGAACATAGCTGCATAATGATTTGTTTGGATTTTGTTGCAGATGATTGATAGTGCAGAATGTTGGCAATGATGTAAATTACTGTTGGGCTGCCTTGAAAATTTCAGTGCAAGTGGTGATTTCTTCTCTTTTTCTGTGTGCTTGTCTAGTCTCGGCAGACACCTGAGGGTGAGTTCCTTCCCCTTGACCAGCTTGAACTGGATGTAGGTTTTAGTACAGGGGCAGATCAACTTTTTCTTGTTTCCCCCCTCACAATTTGCCACGTGATCGATGCCAAAAGCCCCTTTTATGACCTATCCCAGCGAAGCATGCAAACTGAACAGTTCGAGATTGTCGTCATCCTAGAAGGCATTGTGGAAACAACTGGTGAGTAAAACCATAGCTATGTCATCAAGTTTCTTTATTCTATAATAGCATTATGTTACGTGCACAGTATCTGTCATGAATTGGTCGAAATGTCTCAGTTCATAATAATGAAAGTAACGACTTCTCTCTTATTTGCTTTGTGACATTAAGTTGACACCACTTTGAAAATGCAGATTACTGTTGAGATGATTGCATATATAATGTTAACTCAAGAATACGGCAAAAAAAAAAAAAAAAAAAAAGGAAACTGAGATGACTCCTAGAAGTGATTATGATATTCTAGTTTAATTGCAAACTTGGATTTCCTATAATCATAATTTTTCTTTAAAGATTTAAGGTTAAAATAAGTTCAGGGTAATTAGTGAGCTGCCTAAACTCAGCATGCATATTCTTGCCTTGGGGATGGTGATTCGGGGTGTCATTGGTAAAGCTTTGATATGCTGCTATGTGCAACCTCAGTGGAAAATCCCCTGTGTGTGTGTGTCTGTGCTAAAGCAGCATTTTAATTTCAAAGTGGGTCAGTAGATTTCCTCAGCTGAACCTTGACCAAAAAATTTTTCAAAAGAGATTTTTCTTCTTTTCCTGCTTTGGTATAGCTATGTTATTCCTTAAGATGCACTATAACATTGCTGTGTTCCAAACATTCACAATTTGCTAACGCTGTGGGGAGAGCAAGGTTGCAAAGGAAAGAAACAATAAATCAGAGTATATTTTTGGGGTCTGAGTATTGCCCATTTGTTTAGGAACCTGCTAGATCATTGAGACTGATGTAGTATCAGTACATCTATACTCTCGTGCACGTGCGTGCGCGCGCACACACACACACACATATAACAAATACATGTATACATATATATGTGTGTCTTGAATTTTGTGCTTTGTGCAAGTAAAGGAAAGATATTTTAGTTCTCATTTTTTTTCTATCAATATCGTTTCAATCCTAAAATGCTAATTATTATGTATAAACTATAGCAGTTTTGAAAGTAACATTGGCGGTAACATGGACATGTTCAAACTTTATACGAAGGTGGGAGATATTACATAATGAAAAATCTAAAAATAAATAAATAGATAGATAGAAAAATCTCCCACCATGGTATAGAGTTTTGTCCCAGGAGTAGGAGACGGTAAGCCCTTGTAATCTTTGTACATCTATCACATACCACTGTTTCAGTTTTGGGCAAGATGCTTAATCTCTCTATAAGCTTCTTTTCCTTCTCTGTAAAGTAAGAATGATATAATAACTACCTCAAAGCTGCTTGTTGTATAATTTTTTTCATTAGTGCTTCAGTTTAAAAATTAAGATTTTTAAGGATAGTGACTAAAGATTTAAAGCATCAACCTATATCTGGAATTTGATTTCTGTGGACTACTTTATGGTTAAAATATTATTTCCAATTATTTTTTTGACTTAAAATTGACATGATGTCATAGCATATTTCTAATATAACCTCTATTAATAATGAAACCAATTACAAGAGCTTTTAGTTCAGTAAGTCTTTATATTTCAACTTAAATTTTTATTCATGTTGTTTATTGACTTATATTGTTAGGGCTTACATAGGAGATGTTGCAATTTTTATTGATTTATTTCTTATTGCATATGGTTTTGTCTTTGACACAGCTGTTAACTAATTACTTATTGTTATTCTGAACACTAACATCAGTGAGGTTTCTGTTTCACTTGACAGTTTTCAAAATTTTTCACTAGGCCAGTCAGTCAGTTGATTAATCTCATGCATCATCCATCCATTCATCCATTCATTTTTCCTATTTATCTCTAGTTTGTGTTACTTAAGAATGAGAAAGTTTTTCTATAAAATCATAGTGCAATTAAGAAAAAAATTAGGAAATTTAACTATGATGGAATACTACCATTTAGCTCACAATGTTCAAATTTCATCTGTTGTCCTAGTAGTTTCCATCATAGCCACCCTCCACCGCCACCCCCACCAGCCCTATTCAACATCAGTTGAAGGATTATGCCCTTCACTTGTTTACTTGTTTTTTATTTATTTTTTTATTCCGTCTCTAGACAGAATAGTCTTCAACCTTACTTTGTGTTCTTGACCTTGATGCACTTGAAGAGTGTATAGGACAGGTATTGTGTAGAAAGTCTCTCAATTTGGATTTGTCTGAAGTTTCCTTATTCATTAACCGTTTGATTTTTGGCTTCTACATGGGCATCTTAAGAGAATACTGAAGGGTGTTGTTTTGAAAATATACCTGTGTAATGGACTTAACTGATACATCTTTATCAGATGCCAGAGGATTTGGGTTCATAAATACTGTCTTACATAGGGTCATTCAGAGTTTTGTATATAGAATTGTTCATTAAGACTCCAGATTTTAACATTTCCTACTCCCTATTTTTTTTTTTTTTTTTGGTAACCATGAACCAGCAGAAAATACTTTCCATAGAAAGTATGAAAACTTGACTGGAGCCTGAATTTCTTATTTTGAGATTGCTGTTTATGGAGAAGAGATTAAAATCGCCTTCTTCTTAACCTCTTAATTAAGCCTGTTGCTAGATCTAATATAGAAAGACAAACAGCAGAGACATTACTCATAATTTACAGAATTATTTTCAGGGAAACTTATATGACATTTTATCTGCGTATGTGCCCTAACTAATTAAATCCCACACTGTTCAAATTCTGTAAAATCTGTCTATATTTCCAGACCTCTCAGAGCCTGGCAAAAATAACAGAGACATTGTTATGTCCATTTGATCATTTATATCTTTACTGAGATATATTTAGGCTCATCTTCAGGGATGTTTCCTCCTTTATCCTTGCATTCACAATCCAGTTTTTTTCTCTCATAATATTCATTGCTTATGATAAGACAGGTATGATATTTTGGGATGTTTTGAAAAAGCAGTAATTCCATTTTTACTTCTTAGTTTTTTGGTACGCAGTTTTGTGAGTAAACACGTACACAGTGTAACTTTCCATTGTGTTTAACATTAAAATACTAAGTTGTTTTCATTCATTCAGTCATTAAACAAATAATTGAATGTATGCTGTGTGCTTGGTAGTTCTTTGGAATGTCAATGGTGTGGTGGTGACCAAGGCAGCCAGAGTCCCTTCCTCATGGAGGCCATATTCTAAGTGGAGAAGGCACATGGCAAAACAAGAAAAATAAATAAGCAAGATGTTATCAGATAAAATGTGTCGGTAATAAAACCCACTACAAGACCAGTTGATGAAATAGAGAGAGTATCTCGGAGCTCTGTGGGCTGACAGAGGAGTTCTCTCTGAGGTGCCCCACCCAGCAGGGACCTGACTGTCAAGAAGGCCCTCCTGGGCCTGTCTGGGCGAACAGCATGGCGGGCAAGGGTCCTAAATTGGGAGTCTGCTTGATTTGTTCCAGAAACTAACAGAAGGCAGAGGTGGTTGGAGCAGAGCAAACAATGTGGAGAGCTGAGTGAGAGGTCAGAGAGGTGGACGGGCCGTCTCTGCCTGTCATGTACCAATGGGAAGTGTTGGAATTTGATTAGAAAGCAAAGCCTGTATTTTTATGGTAAAAATCTCAAATTGTCTATAACAAACAAAATATACTTATTTCCCCTAGTGGGTTGCCTTGTGGTTTATTTTAAAACAAAGGACCCTAATGTCTTAAAAATGCGTAAAACCTTAGACAGTTACCACTTCTTTTTGTGTTAGTGGTCATATCCATCCCCCCTTCCCCAACACACACACACACACACACACACACACACACACACACACAGGAGTTGCTTACGAATCTTCTGGTCTCTTTTAGTTTTTGCTTCTTCCTACTCCTGTAGTCTCAGCAGGAGTGATGGTGGTGGTGGTGGTGAGAAATGAGAAGCTTTCTAATTTCCTTGAAAGTTTTAGCTTTCAGCTCAGAGCTCAGCAATCATTACTTTCCCTACTTCCTTGGAAATACTCCTCAGTGATTAGACTCAGGTATTGTTGCCTTCCTTGTTTCAGATGATTTTTGGGTTTTCGCTCCCAACAAGGAGCCCAAGATTTGCCTCTTCGTTAATAACCTTTGCTTCTTTACTGGTGCGGCAAACTCCTAAACCCGCGTTACCTCTGACTCTTGCTCCCTTTGCTTCTTTTCCCAGGAGACAGCGCGCTGCTAGAGGCAAACAGCATTGCAGATTTGGCTCATTAGAACTGGATGCTTTCAAACTTCAATCTGCTCTCTGCTGCTATTTGGCAGTCTTTTTAATTGTCTTTTCTGTACTCCCAGGCTCTCTCCCCGTGGGATCTATTTTAGACCTTTTCTCTCTTTCCATGTCCCCAGTCCCAGCTGTCCTATCCTTTCCTTGGCATATCATCTCCACCTATTCTATCAAAAAGAATGTGACACTTCAATTTTTATACATTTTTTTTACTCTCCTTATCCTTTTCTCATAATAATCTTCTCTTTCTGGGTGTCTATGGGGGAAAGTGTCCTTATTCTTCTCCAAAACCATCTCCTTTACAGCTAGTTCTGTTTCCTACCACCCGTGACTCAAGCTCCTGTACTTAACACACCTGATGCCTAAAATCCCGTTGACTGTATTTGCTCTCAGACATTTCGAGGTCTTTGAAAAAATACAAAACCCATTATCTGCCCCTTCATACTCAGGGTTCTCCCCCAAATTCGGAGACTTCTACTTTCCATTTGTTCCTTATGTCCTGCATCACTGCCTCCTCCTCTTTCCTGTAAATGTAAAGCTCTGTCTTGCCTTCTTTCTTTTCAAATCTAGACACTCACCTTTTATTGCTCTTTTTCTAAAAAACAAATTCATAGAATACAGGTCCACCGTTCCTCTTCTCTTCAGCTAGGAAGCCTCTCACCAGCTTCACTCTTGTGCGTGGGGTTAATTTCCGGGACACTGCCCTTACGTGGGTGCCACCATTTGAACTCAGTCAGCTGGTCCAGATACCAGGCCATCATCTTACATTCAAATTATATCCTCATTTGGAAGGTGTGTAGCTATTGGTGTTTGCAGTTTTACCTCCGACTCTTCACCTTTTCCC